AGTGGAATCCTCATGGGAAGCGACGAGTTGGGCGTGGGAGGTGATTGTGACATGGAGGAGATGGTGCGAGGAGGAAATGCGAGCTTGTGGGCTGTCGTGGAGCCAGGTTCAAAAGATTTCGGAGAACAGAGTTCACTGGAGACGTGCTACTGAAGCCCTATGTTCCACTAGGAACCCAAGAACTAATATATAATGTATACATAAGTTTTCGCGGATACTGATAGATTTGACGAATTGATATGAGTTGGAGTACCATTGAAAGTGTGCATGCACTAAACATTTGGCTCTGTCTAGTGTACAAATTCTCAAAAACGCGTATTCATGACGTCACCAGAGATCAAACACCAGACCGTCAGGTGTCGTCGTGAACACATCGCCATTCAGTCGTTACTAGGCTGGTAGCAAACAGTCTTTATTATCATCCAATTTCTGTCAATTCTTCATATAGCACGAACATCAATCAATGTAGTTGGCAAGTATTTATCCAAACACTCGACTTGTTCTACCACCACAGATTGTCGCTTCTCATTAGAACTTTATAATATCTATCTCAGAGCATCTCACTAATGAATGGTAGACAGTAATTCAATTTGGAGGTTTGTGTGGATCGACTGATTTCTAGGTAGCATTCTTCACGACTTGATATCACGTGGGGAAAATTGTTGGTGTTATTCACACATTGATTTATTCACCAACTGACCTTTCATAGTAATGTAAATAAAATTAAATCTGAACAACTTTTAACTGCCCATTTCTACCCCTACCAATCGAGAAGACTAGGCCTACATGTCTTATACCTGTCAAAATTTGAGGCGGTGACTGAAGTTTATGAATTCATTGAATCCTGCTTTCTCCACATATTCTACACGTTTTAAATTCATATCGGGAAAGATATTCACTAACCTGTGTTAACTTCCTTTTAAAGTTCATATCAGTGGCGAACAGTTGCAGCTGATTTCAACTAAGATTACTGAAGTTTACAAGATGCAGTCTTTGATAGACATGACGATTACAATCGTTTTCGTTGCCTATTACTAGTACAGATGAAAGAAGACTGTTAGGTTCAGGTCACCAATCTATTCAGTCAAACATATTCAGATTCAGTTCTAATCTCATGTGATGATCTAAATCATTTCAAATCGACTGTTTCAAAACATTGTTCAAATGATTTGAGTCAATTATCTGATTGTCTATACCTATCATGAAAGAAACCTCAAAATCAGTTAATGTATTTACAGAAAAGTGGCAGTTTAGTAATGATGTACCCTGGTGTTATTTTCTGAATTAGATAGTATTAGGATTATCTAAAGAAACTGACTCATACTGCTCGTTAAGATCAAACTTTTCAAACAAAATAGTCATATCAACCCCACTGGAAGATGCAGCCTCAGTTGGTGAAGACATCTAGGAGAATGAATGAAAGATGAATCATTAATTAACACTCATCTAAATGAACCACTTCACCCATCAGAATCTTAGATTCTTTGATCATATGGTGTATCAAAAGTGCACTTACAAGCTGCTCATATCCGTACAATAATAAACATGCCTAATTCCTCTGGGTGTTTAGTCATGAAGTGGCTTGTGTATATACTGGAACCAGTTAAGAAGGAGTTTTCCCAAAATATAGACCACATGAACCATTTTACTTTGTTGATTTAATGAAGAATGTCAATTTGTTCAGGAAGAGATGGATTGGTCACTGGAGACTAATAGACTTCATGCTGTTTATTCCCAAGTGCTGATCGAAGTTTGGTCGTTTGATCATTTCGCAGCACTGAGTGACGTGCTTTGGAATTTTCTACGAGACATTACTTCCCTCAACCTTGCAGATATGCCTTGCTCGCAAGTGCCAACAATAAAGTGAATTATTATTATACATACGTTCACATTTTCCTAACGACTGCTTCCACCTAAATAAAAGAATAGCTAGTGTGGATGTCATGTCGAGTTTTACAACCATTTCACTTAGACAAGCCTTCTGTTCTCTATAGATAGATAGATATGGGGATCTAGACAAAAAGGTAGTTTGGAGAGGAACCAATCAAGATGTATCCTGTGTTATCACGTCTGCAGTTAGAAAGACAGACAGCGGATCAGCTAATCAACAGCACTATTTTAAACAGAGAACTATCTATATATTAGACATATTTTCCTTTGTTCCTGTCTTCGGTCTTTCTACCCCAATACAGGTTTCCACACATACACCGTGTCTTCTCCAGTGATTATTCGGGTCAGGACTCAACTAAGAATTTCTCAAATGTTGGTGGCTAACAGTTGATATCTGTGCATCGTTAGCCATTATATCACATGGTATTTTTGGAATCATAACAGTAGCGACGAAGATGGGATATTGGGAAATGGGTTTTTTGAAGTTGGAAAATTTCCTCGAACAATAAATGAGGATTATCGAGATACTTAGACAGTTCAAAATTTCTGGTAAGCTTGAAAGACATCAACTTATCAACACCAATCAGTGGGCTTGATATCTACGAAAAATGTATAGATAATTCCCGTTTATTACTGACGATGAGAATATGAAGGTTGAAACTCCCTTCAAATTGTCACTAGTATCCATACTTCTAGCAACTTCACTCTGTAGGTAGTTGAAATCAAAATGTTGATTTCTGTGAAGAGAAAATGATGTATTCAAAGAAGCTCACTTGGGATTATTGCTTTGTTAATTTGCAAGATCAGGTTACCTTAAGCAGAATACCAATATTATCCATCCAGTCTCGTCAAAATCAAGAATTAAATGCATGAGGGACACAATCAATGACGAAATCAAGAGACTGCAACAGAAATTCAAGAAGAAAACGAATTCTCACAGGAACTCATCGCTATAAAGTAAGAGCTGAAGTATGTAACCGGAAGTACATGCTTTTCTCTGAAAAAAAACATTTTGCTGCTGAACCTTAAATGCAAAGGTTTCAGTGTTACAGACATCCTCGAGGCCGGGCTCTCAAATTGCATATGAAGAATGCTAACTAGAAATCAGTCGATCCACACAAACCTCCAAATTGAATTACTGTCTACCATTCATTAGTGAGATGCTCTGAGATAGATATTATCAAGTTCTAATGAGAAGCGACAATCTGTGGTGGTAGAACAAGTCGAGTGTTTGGATAAATACTTGCCAACTACATTGATTGATGTTCGTGCTATATGAAGAATTGACAGAAATTGGATGATAATAAAGACTGTTTGCTACCAGCCTAGTAACGACTGAATGGCGATGTGTTCACGACGACACCTGACGGTCTGGTGTTTGATCTCTGGTGACGTCATGAATACGCGTTTTTGAGAATTTCTACACTAGACAGAGCCAACTGTTTAGTGCATGCACACTTTCAATGGTACTCCAACTGATATCAATTCAATCAGTATCCACGAAACTTACAGTTGAATATTTCCCTGATGGTTTGAAAATGTAAGTGTTCGAGGAAAAATGTGCATGTACAAAATCACCTGTCGGTTTGGACAAATGTCTGACGTCAGCCAGAATCAAACTTGAATTAGTTGATCAATTTGTGTGGATAAAAAGAAGAAGAATAAAAACAACGGTTGGAATAAATAAATAATGAAAACCAACAAATATGATGGCAAATTCTTAAACATCATTCATTCCTTTTCGAATAACCTGAAATAATTCAATGTTCATGCAGTGCATATGAGGGCCCCTTATCATCAACACTAATTAGCCCTTACTGACACCACTTGATAAACAATGCAACATACTATACACTTGTGCAAACAACCAGTATACAATAATGCTTTCTGTAGATTAATCCTTTCATAACCTATTGAAAATGAAATGCGTGCACACAAATACTTGCATTGTTGACTGTCAGAAGGAAGGTCAACAGTTCATAATATATGGTGGATCCGTGATGAACGAAAATTAGTCTGTTCAAAAGTCAGTGATCATCAGTAACCCCTATTTGGTGACCAGTTGTTATGGAAAACTAAACGTAACAGTATAAATTTGTGTGAGTGATCAGACTGGCACAGACTGGTCAAGCGTATCTATCTACAGTCGAACAGGTAGGTGTTGTTGCACTCCATATTTGACTTACTGATAACTCCTTCCTGTGTCCCCTCCTAGTTGTGCTGTGTAAGATTGATGTGTGCAGTGAAGTGACACCTGTCTGCTTGACACAACAAAATGACATCTGTGGTGAGACGTTTTGCATTCGTGAATCTGAAGAACGTGATAATCTGTTGGACATAAACTCGGCTTGTTCGAGAGGAATAAAGTCACTGAGGCATCGCATCTACCAGACAGTTTCCAAAATTGAGGCTGTCAAGTGACGAGAAAATGTATGTGGTTTGGTCTTTGTCAAATATACACTAGCATGAGAGTTCTATTCACATTGGAACCCATCAGGACAGAAGTCCGGTGTTCATCCTTCTTTGGCGAATCCACTGCATTGAGCACGAAATCCATGTTTGATGCATAAATCCATTGAGAAACTGACCATATTGACTGATGGCCTCGATTACATGAAACATGTGCCATTCACTGACGATAGGTTGACTATTGGAGTTGCACATGCAGCTGCTCAATAAATGCATTCACACCCACATCATATAACTTGGAAAGTGATCGAATCACATTCCACAGTATTCAGATAGTCTCAATATCTACTGGCTCAGTGACTGAGTAGATTGTGTTTCCAGGTGTTGGTCACCATGGAATAGTCACACTGACATACACACAAGTAAGCATACAGCAGACGTTAATATTCGCATATCAGATGTAAGTGCTCTTCAGTGCATTGATGAATATAGTTGTGGAAGTTTATAACAGTGACTAGCTGTTTCAAATATGCATGTGTTCGGTAGAAGTTTCATCTGAATTTACACCCGGGTATTTTGTGTTTTCCAGGTGGACACGTGGGAAGATGAAGAGAAGCGGTCACTGTGTGCTCAGCTTGCTGATATTTTCAACTTTAATTGTTTTACCACTATATAATGTGGAAATCGTAGAAGGAACTTATATGGGGGGTGCTGTAAATGGAATGGGAGGAAACACAAATCAGAATTTAAATCAAAGGCCAAGCTATGTTGGTCAGAATCAGAATAGCCAGACACAAGACTCAGCATCTGGAAGTCGAAATCAAGGACTTGGTAGACTCAATCAGTTCCCCAATGGTCAAACACAAGGTTCATCTTCACAGTCATCAAGTCAACAAGGACAAAACCCAACGGAATACTATCAGGGACAGATAGATGGACGCAGTCACTTCTACGACGAGGATGATGATATAATCAGAACTTTACCTCCAAGCTATGAGGACCATGATGCACCCCATCAAAAATCCTATGCACGGGCGTACACAGGCGGGTGCGGTCAGAATCCTGGCAATGCAGAGGGGGGCTCGTATCGCCGTAATGAATTTGAATATACGGTAGAGGGATGGATAACGCCATCATCTGAACAACAATACACAGGATTGCTCAACAAAAGACTGATGAAACGTCGCAGCTACACATACCCACGTCCCTCACAATCACAAACAAACGGTGAATATTACAATCCTGTCGGAAGCAAGCCTGGAGTTTTTATGGGTGGCAGTAATCAAGTGTTGACTGGAGTAGTCAAGCGTCACTTGCATTGATTGTTACCACTTCTCGATATTTGCACTAACATGCATCCTGTGCCCAACTGAATTCCCGATGAAAACTCCTTCAAACATTTGAAACCGATGCATAAATCACTATATATTCTTCTGTAGTTTCTTCACATAAATAAATACGTTTACATGTTTAGCTTGTTGCTCTTGTAGTTCAGCTGTACACTAGTCCTGTTCCTCTCACTCATTTCTCGATATATGACTAGGCAGTCAGGAGAGTATGGTGATTACACTGTAGTAAGTGATGTAGGGTTTGTGGGTAGCTTGTGGGTGAAGTGTGTAGCTTTCAACCGGGCATACATTGTCAGGTGGATCCTCTCTACTTTCACATCGTTTGTTATGTTAATGTCAGCTGGATATTTGGGAGATGAAGTTATCACTGACAGATACTTCCAGCAGTATTTTCTGCCCACTTTCACACAGTCAGTCTAGACTTGATGTGCATGCTTGTTTGTGCTGACTACAACTGAAATCAATTTGTCTTCGTTATACACCATCCATTATCTTTGCACGTCGTGCGCATAGATTTGTCTTGAAATGACTGACTGACTGACTGACTTGCAATTTATTGATTATTTCAGCTCGATTGTTTTGATACCTTTGTGATCGATGTTGAGAATCATTGTTGCAATATGTGTTCCACGTTTGTCCAGAGAATATTTGAGTCTTCGTGAAAGTATATCTGGATGTCTTTTGGTTTTTACCCTAGACTCTCGGAATCATTTCAGAAGATTTTATATTTTTTTGCAGCCATCATGTCTCTCTGGACTCGAACACTCCACCAGTGACTCATGACTCGAAGAAGACACTGACTGAGATAATTCAGCTCTCACTCACACAGTGTAATCCTGATAAAATCATTTATTGATTGCATTTTTACAGAGCTCGAAGTTAAGCTTCAGTTGCCAATGTGAGGTGTTTTCGTCTTAGTTCAGTATTTCATTCCAGTCACTAATATTTCATGAAACATCTGAGATTCACATTTCTATGTACAACACTAGCACTTACTTCAGATCTTCATTCAGACTCTTTTATTGTCAACCATATACTGAAATTATCGGTGGAGGTGTGTCAGGCTCAATGTGTAACAGAGATAACACGAGGTTGTTTTTACGAAATGAAATCAGATTGCTTGTCACGTAAGTGTGTTTACGACTGAAGTGTTTGAATGATACTTGTTGGAAATTACCCTATTATATTTTATGCAAGGGTTCAGTATTTTTCGACCTAGTTTACTATGAGGGAATCAGCCATCTTTAATTAGCATGTATTCTTAGGAAAATGTTTGCCTCGATTGCTCTTCTCATCTGCTTCATTCTCTCAACTCTCAATATCACTACATATTTTTCTCCTACAGTGAATTTACGTTCCATGCAAACTAATTTCATCTTCACCTCCACGATAAACATGTGACTGATTTCTATAGCCCTGTCAGAAATCCGACTGTAATCAGCCACATAATTTATTTTCCCTGTATGAAATTTTATCAAGATCTTTGAGGCAGACATTTCATGCAGCTAGCCTGAGAATCACATTCTTCAGTACACAGTTAGTTTGTCATCGTGTTGTCGACAGAACACTTGCTTCCACCACGTCAATGTAACTTCACCAATTTGCTTGTTCTTATGGAGTATCGTGCATTGACTGTAGACAGCGTGAAATCCGTGGACGCATTTTTGAAGGTTTTCCAGCTTGTTCATCGAGATGAGAGCTGAGATAATATCAACAGTTCCGCTGTTGAACACCTAATCATCTTCGAACACTTGATGCTTCTGACTGGTAGCAGACTTAACATTGGTGTTGAAAATTCGGATCTTGTTCACGCTTTATGTTGAGCGCAGTGTAGTGTACTGCAGCAGATCTCCACACTGGTTGCTTCAGATTAATGAAATCCTGTCTTGCTGTCTTTCCGATCCTGCTGGCTTTTACATCGTCATCTGTTCCGCCGCCGCCATTGCCTGTAGTTAAAATGACGCTGTTTAGGTAGGTAAGTAGGTGAACAAGACAACTTCCTTCAGATTTTTCTTGTTGATGGTTGGTTATCTTCATCACCTTTCCGTCTCCACTACCTTCACCTGAAGGAGGTCCAGTGATTGCTACCTCACCTCGCCTCTTCTGCCAACTTGTTAGTTTTCACCTGTAGATTTTCGAGTTTGTGCTACAAGACATTAGACATAAATCATCACCGTTGGCGAAATCCAAATCTCTTTATGTGATCTTTTCATCGGTCCAGCCGGCGTATGCCCATCTTCTCAAAGCTCCTCACGGTTTGCTGCATGATCCAATCAATTCGACTACAATCAGTAAGATCATGGGTGATAGTAGACGGCAGCATTGTCTTACTCCTATCTTCACTTCAAAAGCGTCACTGAGCTGAGCTTTCCATTTTGAATTACTTGGCATGTGGCGTCTTCATATACTTGTTGAATGAGGTTGATAAAGGTTTGTGGCACTGAAACCGTAGTGTTGAACCAGCTGACTACCAAATTACTTCTCGGTCAACGCTGTCAAAGGCCTTTTAAAAGTCGATGAAGTTGAGGTCAAGTTGAGTTGATTGCCAGTCTACGCTCTGTTCTATGATGATGCGTAGCGTAGCTTCTCGTTGCAATTTGATCCCCCCCCCATGACTTCTTCCTTTTGAATGCAGCCTGGTCGGGTCAAAATTTTAAGTGCAGAGCATTGCTTACTCTCTACAGGATGACGCGGCTCAGTATTTTGCTTCGGGTGGATAGCAGCATGATTCCTCACTAGCTATTGTAGAGAATTGGGTCTCCCTTCTTTGGAAGTTTGAAAAGGTTGTCTTTCTTCCAGATGGTTGGCAGTGACCTTACTTTCCTCCCTTCCTTCCAAACATTCTGAAGTAGTCTTGGTTGTACTGTGTTCTCTGAGCTGGATTGTTTAATTGTGAAGCTGTCATCGCTTTGCTAGACGACATCATCAGCACTAACTTCAGTATGAAGTGAGCTATCAATATCTCTCCGTGAGTGATTTAGTAGCTTGCTCTGACGATGTGGTCTGTGGTTGGTTGTTTCCTTCAATCGTTGTGTCACTGACTGACTGTATAGACTTTCCTGTTGGCTGTTCCTCTGCTTCACCTCTGAACTTTCTGTCGTTTACCATCTTTCTTGTTGCTTCTATGTCTATACATCTATTGATTGCTGACTGACCTGAATGTCAAGCTTCTAGAAATTCTCCGACATTCTTTGTGTTTCCTCTCTCCATCCAAGATTTCTACATTGTCGAAATTGAATTCATGTCCATAGTTGTTATCCACATGCATTGAAATGAGGGATGAAATGTCGTGACGTTTAATAGCCAATTAGTGTTCATGTAGACGAAGACAAAGAGGGCGGCAAATGTGGGAAAGCTGGAAACCCAAGTATACAGGAAGCCGACACAGACTAACCAAGTCCTCAACTACACTAGCAACAACCCAACAACACACAAGATCACTTGCGTGCAGACTCTATTCAGAAGAGCGAGAACACACTGCAGCACAACAAATTCACGGAGAAACGAAGAAAATTACTTGATGTCCACCCTAAAGAGGAACGCTTGCCCACAAAACTTTATCAGAAGATGCCTATCCCACACATCATCAACTACAAAGTCATCCACAGAAATCAATAAATGCATCATCCTACCATACATAAACAATATATCAGAAATCACGACAAGATTACTGAGACCACTTGGAATTGGTGTGGCTCATAAAACAACAAATTCCCTCCAAACACTATTATGCAGACCAAAGGATGCAACAAACAAAGAAGACAAACCCAATATCATTTACAAAATCAACTGGAATAACTGTAGTCAACACTACATTGGACAAAGCGGTCGCCCTCTTCGCCTTCATCTACATGAACACCAATTGGCTATTAAACGTCACAACATTTCATCCCTCATTTCAATGCACGTGGATAACAACTATGGACATGAATTCAATTTCGACAATGTAGAAATCTTGGATGGAGAGAGGAAACACAAAGAATGTCGGAGAATTTCTAGAAGCTTGACATTCAGGTCAGTCAGCAATCAATAGATGTATAGACATAGAAGCAACAAGAAAGATGGTAAACGACAGAAAGTTCAGAGGTGAAGCAGAGGAATAGCCAACAGGAAAGTCTATACAGTCAGTCAGTGACACAACGATTGAAGGAAACAACCAACCACAGACCACATCGTCAGAGCAAGCTACTAAATCACTCACGGAGAGATATTGACAGCCCACTTCATACTGAAGTTAGTGCTGATGATGTCGTCTAGCAAAGCGATGACAGCTTCACAATTAAACAATCCAGCTCAGAGAACGGAATACAACCAAGACCATCCACCTGAGCTACAAATAATCTCCATTATTTCAATTCTGAATTAGTGGTGTGAGCATATCCGCGGTGGTCTCTGCATCTGTTCTCAGTGCTTATGGTGGATTTCCATCTTCTTCTCTTGCTGTTTTCCGCCTTTCAGCAACTTTGTGTCTTTCGGCTCTTCACTTCTGCTTCCGTCGGACTGTTTGTGTTCACTGATAGTCCTATCCCTACGTGGTTGGTGATATTTCTAGACGACTGGTTGTGGTGGCTGTCGATCGAAGAGTTTTTTGAAGTGGCCAGAACATCGTTTCCCTTGTTTCTCCTCTTTATTGGTATCTAAGTTTCCTTCACTATCTTTCACAGGTTTCATCTGTGTTCATCTCTTACATCCCAGATAGTAATCCGGCTATTTGATATAATGTTGTCAAATCTCTACTACCAGCTAACTGTTCTCCTTCGTTTGAAAGTGTATCGTAGAAGTGTCTTCTGACTTTGTGCTCACCCTTCTTAACTTCTACGTCCATTGTTGGGTTTTACAGGTGGTGTTCAGTTCCCCTTTCCATTGTTCATCCTTCCACCGGTTCATCCACTGCTCCATCATCTGCATCTTCCTCTCCCTCCTCTATCACCTTCCATCCGTCCGTCCACATCCATTCATTATCTTGACATTTC